CCAAATCTTGAAGTTCTCAAAAGTTCATATTCGACGATTATTAATGCACATGTGATTCTCATATATAAGCTGCTGCCACAAGTGAAGGATTTACCTTTTCGAAGTTTCCTTTGTGCTATATCGGTTAGCACCCCTTGCTGCTGTTTCCTGCTATATCGATGACCTATATAGCCGGAAATTTGGTAATAAGCTAGCTAGCTTAAGCAAACGGCATACAAGTTACTGGTTTTCATCTGTGGTGTGCCATCTTTTCCCTCCATAGCTCTCCCGTCGACTTCCGCAAGTTATTTATTTAGACGGCTTTTTAAAAATAACGATAACAAGTCGTCGGCTTTCGTTATAAGATAGATTAATGTACGGTGAAGTAACAGGCGTCAATTTTTCGAGACGACGCTGATGGAAATTGGGAGAACGGAGGCATTTATCTGAAGTGTTATCCTTTTGTCAAAAAACCGTCTTGCAGGCGTGACATACAACCAGGCGAAAGGTAAATCTCTAGATCATCCACTTGAGTCATGCGGCCGCAGACACAAGCGATGATGGCAGAGAGGCTTGCAGAACCTCCAAAATCTTATAGGACACGGAGTACATTATAAGCATAATGGGATCTCTCTATATCTTATGAAGATACAGCAACCTTCTAACTTTCATACCGCAAGTGACTTTCTTTTAAAACATGTTTCTCAAAGATCTTAGACTAGTATGGTTCATCGGACCAGCGCTGACCTGACTGTGAGATTAAGCGTACACTTAGGGAAGTGCATAGCATACGACTGTATTCATTTATTGGGTCGTTTGCTCCTATTATATTTACTTAGCTTTCAACTTCACATCAAACTATAGCCTTTTTTACAGGTCCAGCAATTTCTGTTTAAACAATTGCTGAGTGAGTAGCTTCATAATATACACGAAAATTTATTTTTCTGCGGCCAGCTGCGCCAAAAAATATGTAGACGCTCCTAAGCGGTTCTTATGTAAATGTTCCCTTCGAACATAGCTGCATTTAGCCCGAAACCGCTGAGGAAAAATTAAAAATAACAATGTATTAGATAACTGGGAGTGATCTAGTAAGCGAGAGTATTTGTAAGCTATACCACTTGTGTCCCACATATAAATCCCAATTCAGCATTAATCGTTAGATTAACTTGAAATTTCACTGACTGATACAATTCGGATAAACAATGTATGCAATTTAGCCATGCATTAAAAAGTTTAATGGTAAGGATTAATCATAAAGTAAAGGTTACTTAATCTTCAACTTTCAGACGATTGTTTTCAGATTAGCTTTGGAAAATCTTTTGTTGATAGCCTCTGTTCTATCAAAGTTACCCAACCTTTTGTAAAGCAAAAATCGTAGCTTGGCTAATTTCAATCAGAATTTTAAAAAAAATTACCGCACAGACCATCCTAGGATAGATCTGAGAGCCTTTTTTTATGACTGTTCTGAAGGACAATGCAGCAAAACGTTTTTTTTTGATATCCTAAAGAGCCCAAATATGATTTCCTTATATTATGTAATCATATAATCCCTTTATTTATATTAATGACGCAAATGGTCATGCTCTAACCTTCTTTTCTCTTTGCACGGTAGAAAACCAGCAGCTAGGCCGAGCGACTTGTTTTTTTTCGGAAAAATTGTTAACAAGTTTAGTATGTTCCCCAGTGTGTTATCCGACTCGAAATACCACCATGAGCTACGAATTTTATTTTAATTTTTGATTATCTCTGTGTATTTGCAATGGTCATTTTTTTCCCTAGTACTCTTATATATGGTTTTTTAAAAATGCTTGACATCTCATGAACCAAAAATTTATTCCAGAATACTCTTTAAAGATCCTAGCATTATGTAACCAACGCCTTCGTAGATTAAAGCCTTATAGAGCCAAATTCGGCTTACATATCAGCCAGGAAGCCTCAAAAGCGGAAACTCTTGAAGCTTAATCGAAAATAGTTACGGGAAATGATCACAATTTATAGAAGCCATTAATCAAGCATGATATGCCATTCAAAAGCCGCTCCTCTGCAAGTTCTAGCAAACGAGTTTTCAACGTATCTGTATTGACTGTCTGCCAAGACCCAGAAATACTGAACCAATTCATTTGTGACGGCGAGATCAACCCCCCTCTCGTTGGCATTACGGATTTTATTAAAGCTATCAAGGTTTCTGTTGAAAAGAATGACTATAAACGTATCGAGAATTGGCAACCGGATCGGTAAAGCTATAAGTACAAGTCGACGATGACCGCTTTTCAGCTATGTCTACGCTTTTTGGTTGTCGAAAAGATAGATAGAAGACTTGTCTTCTAAATCAAAGGATCAATTTCGCAAACCAATCTACACTTCAGATATGTCAGTTTGAATGTTATAGTTTTTAACGTCGGTAAAAAATTGAATAACGAAAAAAAATGAGACATACTACTTTTACATACAATTAGCATGTTCACGCTTATATTATAAACGTAAAAGGACATTTCGTTATACAAGCAACAAGATAATAATAGAAAAATTCTATATAACAATTGATCGAGAGCAAAAAGTTATACGCGATTTCTTTACGACCTAATATCGCTTATGACTTCAGTTAGCTTTATGAATTCTCTGAGAAGTTCTTAATGTCAGAATGAAAAAAGTTATTGATTTATTTTCTGCACTGGCAAACTCTTTTCAAGCTAAAACGTTTTAAAAATTGGAATCGTGGTTGGAATTCGAAAAGCAAATGTTTTCGAAGTTGCATTAGTCCATATAAAAATAATAAACTTTGTTCCTTAGAAACTATAACATAATATCAGTTTAGACCATAAAAACGTCGTCTATAAAAAAAAAACTAGGAAACATGTTGTCGTTGTGGGATACCTTATCATACATAAAGAATAGGATATTATATGCCAGTATCTTTTTATGACTATACGTCGCGTGTTCTTATAAAGAATGGTGCGTCTGCTTCTACAGTTGAGACATTAAACTGATTTATATATAAAAGCAATTTAGATAAAAAAAATTGGCTTTATATATGAAGAAGACAAAAATAAATAATCGACTTGGGCATGATATCTTCTACCAGGTAAGTAACCCCATTTGCTTAATCATGCCTTCCTTCTTTCTCTCATTCGCAGAGGTCCTCGGAAGCCTTCTGGCACGTCCCTTCTATTTGAAGTGCACAACATCATAGCAGAGGTCTAGCCGCCGTTTTGTCGAAGCAGTAGTTTTACTGTCTCCGGAAGACCACCAGCTAGTCACTCGGGAACTAATACTTTGCGTGATGCTTCGTACGGGCAGAGTTTTGCTGTTTTTATAAGTAGTGACCCGGTTTAAGTCTAATATGGGTTGTTTGTGTATCCGCGAACCAGTTGCTGCGCGTTCTCTTGGTCTATTTAGGTCTTCGCTTACCCGTTAGGGTTGAACTGCACCAACTCATATACTTTTTTACATGCGTCGCGTGTTTCTAATAGAAATTGAGAAGTCTACATAGGAAACGACACTCTGTTAAGGTGTTAAACATGATTTACCTCTTTTGGCCTATGCGATTCGTTACCTAAACCATTTAAGAATTTTGATATCAATTACACATTATTAATTGCGTTGCCTAATAATAGCAAAATTGTCAAGTACTTACGAGATCAACCTATGCAGGTATTCGGAACCCACAGAATTATAAATTATAAAACCCAAAATCCATGACGCATTTATGATCGATGTCGTGACTCGAATGCTCATTGTGCAATGCTAGTGCTGCCTCTATAGGCAACGCAATGTGTTATATAGAAATAAACTACATTTTTATTTAAATTCGCACCTATGCTCCGCTATTTTTCTCATTTCATAAACGCTTTAAAATATAGATTATACTGCACAAAGTAAAGGAATATTTTTTAAAACTACGTTTCTCAAGGAACAACTTTAAATTAGGCACAACCTGTAGCTCGGCTTTCACCGGCATGTCATGCAACGTTTTAATGGGTTTTTTTCTTGAAATGTCAATGTCTTCAATTTTTATTTATATATTAAAATGACGATAGCGAATTGGCAACACGCTTCTGACCCCGTTTGTTCTACATTTTTCTAAAAATTTGTAGTTACGAGTCAAAAAAAATCATTTGGATTCATGCGTGTCCTCCAAATAAACACGAACTATTTTTTTTTGAATGGCTCCTTTTTTATGAAGTATTCGCTTTGTCAATACTCTTTTTAGTCCATCAAATTGAGTGAAGAATGAAAGGACATACCGGGCAGATTCTACGCAAAAATCATTAGACGTTATGATGATGCGCTAGTACTCTAGCTTAGAGCACTTCTCAGATGCTTTTTATATGATGATATATATTTTATATATGTCTACTTTGCTGGCACTTCTGAAAAAATTACTACGTTTCTATGATCCGTCACGCTGTCATAATAGCGCCACCGGTTTGATTTGTACGTATGTGCTGTGTGATTTACTGTTCATTCCAGTATTATAATGGCTTACAATATATTAATGATTCATATATATTAGATGATAATGATTGTCATCCCTAGCTTTCATTTACTGGTACTCAGATATTATATGCAGTTAGAAGGCTCCCAGTCTCAGTTGAGTATTCGGACATAACTCGCACAATAGAAAAAGCATGTTCAATAGCAGTTTTTACAGCTCATATTTTTTCCATGTCAAAAACGAACCACGCAGAGCAGAACATTTATCCCGCGTGTGATGACAACTCTATAACTCAGGGATGTAGGCTTATCTAGCAGTAATCCTTCTCCCATATTTGGCGTCCGAAACAAAGAAAATAAGCAGATTAGGACGATGGCATTAAGATCAAAAAAAAAAACTCTCTAACTGTGTATTTCCGACACTTAGCTATTAACAAACAAAGCGAGGCTAGCAAAGTAGTAAATAAACAAAGTGCACTTATTTTCTGAACAATTTAACGGGGAAAGGTTGAGTAAATCAGAGTCCTGAACTTTATGAATCCGTTACGAGTGTGGATTATTCGCGAATGTCTTTTCTAAATACTTACCTCGGATCGATGACGGCGGCAAAACCAATGGCGCACCCTTGAGCGTTGCCGACAGTACATGAACCCAAAAATCAAGATCGTGCGAAGGTTTAAGCGTTAGGGCATTGTCCTGAGCTGAAAACGCGTACTGTTTCCATTCCCATTCAAGACGGTTGTGTAAATGTGACATTGGTACTGTCTGTCCTTCCGGCGTAATGCAGAAGTCGTCTAGAGCGACACCTGTCAGTAACGATATCGGTATTCCGTTGGGGTTGTCCTGTGATAGGAGATAATTTTAAAACTCACGATTAGGGGAAAATGTTAGCAGCTCCATCTACTTTATGTCATATCTAGGGCATTTTCCGGCTGCGTCAAAAAAGTGTCGAGAATTCGGTTTTGAATAAACTGCACATCTCTGAATCCTTCAAATCTAAATGGCATGTATGCTGCCAATGTTTTTCGAGTCTGCGAAAATTTTCCAAATTGTCAAATAGACCTCAACCTTGCTGCGGTGTTATCTGAGCTCAGTTGGGTCAGACAGGGGGACTAGACCTGTTGAACATACGAGCGTTAAGGTAACACAAGTATGGAGTTTTTTTTTTTAATAAAACACAAGGAGAAACGTATGAACTAGTTCACTATGCTGCTGATGAATTCATGTCTGTTTTTTTTTTTTTTGCGGCTAGCACTAAGTAATCTTTTCAAAACTATCTAATACTGCTCTATAGACACAGCAGAATCACTCAATATAAATTCATACATAAGACGTTTAACTCTTCCGTGAGCTTTCTGAGGGTAGTTCGGCGATCTCGCAATATAATTGCTTGTGCTTTTTTATGTTTTCGTTTATACAAATCGCGTACAGTGGGGAAGACTCTACTTCTACAGGTATTTTATCAATACTTATTTAACCCGGTACTATAATACACACGTGATTAAATACAATTTCTATATAATATATAGCCAGCTGTATACTGGTAAAAAATATTTCTATATTTAAGCTCAAAAAAGTGAAGACCTTATCCAAAAAGCTGCTATTTCGGCGACGTGTTCAAGGATACACGCAGTTTGCTTGCGTTTTGGTTGATATTAACTAACCTTCCCATGTAAGATATGAGTCAACTGTATTTAAGGAATCTACTTCGAAATGCAATTTGTTAATAAATAAACCACAAAATGCATACATACTTGAGATATTTATTTCTCAATACGAAATAGTTTATCGCTATATATCTTTTTGCGGTATGTTACAGAAGCAGAAATGGGAGCTCATGATCCAGAACATAGGCGACTCTCAAATGGACCATTCAGATATTATCTTCTGTCCAAATGTATTCTTTGTGTCACCCTTTTGCCGTGTCGGGTTTTCTGATAGAATATCTATTTATATTTTTTGGGTTATGCCAACACCTTCGGAACGTGTTTTGGGTCCTGCTAATTATGGCTGTGCGTAAAAATCGTATCCATTGAGTTTCATTATCAGTTAATTAGATGAATCAAGGTAATTTTACTCATATAATGAGATAACATCTTATTATCTTCAAATCAACGCGTCGAATACATTAAACCATAAAAGGTTTAAAGGAAATAACCCGCTGGCTGATTTTATTTCTGTTCTGCCATCCTGTTTGTCCGTCAACACGGTGTATTGGTGAAGAAAGAGGCTCAGTCTTGTGTATGTAGACGGATTTTGATTATGGTGCATCGCAATGATACGAACGCAATATACAACAATTTATTATTCGTCAAGGAAAATGGGTGATGGCCATGCCTACGTTTACGGCACGTTGACCTTTCTGTAAAGGAAAAAAGTGAAACTCAAAAAGGCCGATTCGTAACCGCTACGATTCCGCTCGCTGCTGCAATTCAAAAGCCGCTGTCTTCGTCACTATTACCGTTGTCTCTGTCATGGTGAAGGGCCCTTTTTCATTAATCGTTAAACACCATCTGTGAGTAAGCGCTTCTTATTTTTCCTTCATGCTTAGCTCACTTCGTGCTGCTGCCTTTCTTTCAGCTTCCATTGCTACAACGAGTGCGGGCTTTGTAACAACAGCTGCCCCTTCACTGTTTCTCGGAGCTGGCGTTGCTGTTATATTGGTACATTTATACTGATTACCCGGCAGGCAAGCAGGTAGACCGATGGGCGGCTTCCAGCCTTCAACTATTATTGCTTACTTAGATTGTCCGTGTTGTGGCCTTGCTGTTCACAGGAAAATCCCTGCACCAGGATTGCGAGCAGTTCAACCACTACCTTTCTGCCTAGCTGCTATTGCAATGGTGGCAACTGAATTCTTTGTCATTGGGTAGTAATTACATAGTAGTTACTGCTGTCTTTTCTCTAGAGCGTCAAAAGAAACGCGTGGCACTATTCCTCCTCGTGAATTCTCGCCAAGTGAACAATCTAGTGAGTCGCATTAAAAGAGCCACCCCCCGTTGCTGGACTGTACTACGATCGCTGCTGTGGCCATTATGCCGCTCGCCTATTAAGAAGCCACGAAAATGGTGCACACACACCGTAGGGATGTAGCGGATAACTTTATTGCTCCCTCTCTCGCTTACTTATCGCCGGAGATGATTGTGGCTGTCGGTAATGTAGCTTAATAACGTTTTGACATGACGGGTAAACGCCATCAAAGGAACAAAATGAACGTCGTCATGGCTGATTCAAGGTTTTTTTTTTTCGCTAAATATTGAAAGAGCGTCTATGGAACGCGTGTCACGAAACTCTGTTAAATATTTGTAGCCCTGGAATTATACCAAGGACATTCAGAGAACAGTAACAATGGCCTACAAAGCAAGTCACCTCCTCAAGTGTTCGTGTCAATGGATATATCCCCCCCCTTAAGAGGCCGTCTGCTGAGATTTTCTGTTATTCGGTAATTTTGATTCATTGATACTTTAAAGCTGGATAGAGGTAAGCGATTTATGCTCTTCAGCACTACTGAAACGAGGATCACGACTTTACCGAAAATGTCGCATCTAGCTTGATAATATCGGTTTTGACAATAAAAATCCGCATAGATAGAATACAGTTGCTTTTATTAGTTTGAATCGCGATTCCTGTTACCCACTCTGAGTAATCCAACAGACGTTTCGTCTTTCACTACGTAAACATTTCCGGTAGAATATTGTATCTTGCATAGCAGCAATGTCGCAAGTAATGAATAGCTGCCTTCAGTTTTTTAACCACACGGCCTATTTAGCAGATTGACATCAATTACGATCTATATAAATCATATTAAATAAATGGCTGTATTAATGAACTAAACCGTCTCAGTAGTGTTTTCCTTGGATAGTAATGTTTCAAGATTTTTTTTATTTTTCTTATTTATATAATTAAAAATATAATATTAAATAAATATTATTTATATTTAAGATTTTTAATTTGTTCATCGATATCGTCGTTAGGACGGCTGGCTCCCAGCATTACTCGACCCTAGGTCACAACGTATCCCTAAAATTAGCCGGATCAACACTAGTTACAAATAGTTAGTGATAACTTACAAATAGTTAGGGACATTACCAGATGTGTTTCGCAACCGTAGCACTGTTCAGGCATGAATGACGTTATTATGTAACAACGAGCACCGCACATATTGTAAAATATATAAATAACATTTACTACTTACTTGATGATTGTTACCACCAGAGTTAAAGTGCATAATATCAGCGATGACGAGAACATTGGAGGCGGCTATGTCACAAGCGTCTGTGACAAGTACCGCATCTGATTCCAACGATGAGAGGAGCGCCTTTTTTTTCGGCATGTACCGTTCAAGTTTTGGCGTACAACCTGCAACATGAAAAGTAATAGCAATTGCCTATGGATGATATATTACCATACATTCACTTGAGGCACGATAGCTATAATTAAACGTTTGTCCATTTAGTTTGCCTTGGTTGATGAACCAATTATTAGTTAAACCTGAAACTTCATGTCATTACTCGAACAATAAAGCTAATGATCGAAAAATCCTTTGCTTTACATATTTAGAAAATTCGTACGTGCTTATAAGACAAGTCAGCATATATCTAATTCAAACTCCTCGGAACTCAAATCAGATTGCCGCTACGCACAGCATACAACAGACATGTATTACAAATTTACAAAAACGCTAAATTTTACATATGTGGTTTAATGTATATGGCAGGTGACTGAGTCGCTGGAATGTACCAAGAAAGCTTTCGTATATTAACCGGTTTCGGTAAAAACCTAAAGGGCAACTTGTGGTTTTTGCTTTCGTCATGTTACCTACTTTGGATAGCTGGATAGTTGATATTCGAAATGTCATCCAGGATTCCTTGGCCTGAATTATAACAAGGACTGTAGAAGGAAATATTCAGAAACGAGCCTTACTTAAACTCTTAAACTTAAAGGGTTGGATAGCCTGCCTACGGCAGGGCATGGATGGATGAAAAGCCCTCTGAGAGCTCTGGTTCCTGAGACTCAAAGATAGGCTTACTTCATTTCTTGCCTTAGACAGCAGTTCTCCAGTTCCCTATTGCAGCGTGATCCTAGATTTCAAAGGTTTCGAAGGAACCAGGCGCTTAGGCGCGTAAATGAGTTACATAAATTCTCGAAAGAGCAGAAAGCGACATCGGTTTTGTTGGTCAGATGCAGGATACGTTCGGTCCGAAGAGAGACATAACGGACAATGCACACATATATGCGTTCATTTTGTTGTCACTGTGCATTTAACCACGACTAATTGCTAATTGATTATACCATTTACCTATCGTTTCCTGTGATGGCTCTGTTAATTACAGATGACAAACGGTTTCTCATAACGGTAATAATATTAGTAAATTAGATTAAAGTACTGCGCTAGCATTATTAGATGGCTATAGATCCCGAAGTCGTCCCGCGCAACGATAGGCTCATCCTACAATTGCAGTCCATTTCACAGTGTAAAAGTCTGTGTAGAACGTATGGTTATAACTTAAATTGCACTTATGTAAGGCCGACAAACAGATCAAAAACATACTATAATATATCCTAACAAGAAGTATACGAAGTTAAAAAGAATACTTCTCTTTGTTCATGTAATTTTTATGTACATAAGCTTACGTTATTGATTATAAATTAGTTAGTCAATTCGAAGTTAGAGGACTTCCGATTTTGTAACAAATTATCAGTCAGATGTGTCAATTTCATCTAAAAAATCTGTTATGACTATGTTATGACTAAATTCGAACCTTATCGAATAGCTAATTTTAAACTTTTAAAATGTACCAAGATACGTTCTTCGACTTTATGTAAGGCTAGAATAAAACATCAATTAATTTATATTATAGAGATTTTGAAAAACAAAGCTCACAAAGATTCTTTAATGGGAGTAAAATCAATGAGATATCTTTGGCATAATAAATATAAAAAATTAGCAATTCGTTAATCAGCGGTTGTACTTCTTAACTGATGCTATCAAAAGAAATTTGCCTAGAAATTTGGAAGAGCGACAGTAAATTGATAAAGCTTCGCAACGGTTACAAGCGATACGAAACAAGCGCATTCAAATAAATAGACCGTTATACGGTTCGAAAATACATTTCAATGTCAGCAGGAATAGAGTTCTCCACATTCCGGCAAGCAACTTATGTACAAAACTAAGTTCGTATATTTTATTGTCTCTTAGTATAAATTTATGTCTACGGTCGTCATTCGATTCGTCTATATTTGTCGTTCTCCTATCGATGTGTCAGTACTGCAACGTTTGATTTGGCATATAGGGATACGCACTTCATACCTATGTATGTTCTTCTACACAATATAATATTAAGAACAACCGCACGGATGCGACAGGAACTTTATTTTAAAAGTTCCTGCCGAAAGCAGATGGCAGAAATGCCAGCGACATCTGGAGCCGCCCATGGTAAATGGAGCCGGCAGAAGGATCTGCCATGTGGTCAAAGAATGAAGATAAAAAAAACCAAAAACTGAAGCGATAGAACGAGAAAGACAAACCGTGAGAATTAGATCCGCGTTGTGATCAGAAATGTTGGACGTTTGCTTCGCGATAAATGAAGCCGGCGGTGGCGTAACGGCGTGCTGCCAACACCTTCAACACGGTGGCAGACAACAGTAGCATAAGCAATATGAAAAACTTACAGAATAGAAAAGAAACGAAAGGACAACAGAAAGGGGAACGAGCGAGCAACAGAGCTTCGATTCCTTCTCCTTTCACTTGAACCGAACTATGGAAACACTGCATGGATACTCTCTTTCGTCTGAATTCTCCACCAGACTCCACAGACATGCCTACTGCCCAGCCATCATCTGCGGCCGCCCACCGCCAACAATGCGGCGCTACGGTTGCCCCATCGGCGTTCGTTTACCAAGGTTCTGCTATCTTTGTTCGGGTGGAAGGAGGGGTCGAATGGCAAAGTACGAAGCATTCTCAGGCAAGCGCATGCTACCGTAGTCGTTTACAGCCACCGTTGCAATCGCTCCTGTTATGTGGCGTCACTGTCGTTTTAGGAGAGAGGAGAGGTAGATAGAGAAGGCTCTTAGAGCGCAGGGTCTAAGCCACAGCAACAGCAGCGGTAGTATCATCATCATCATCATCATCATCATACACCGGAACTAACAGAAAAGATGGCAGACAAAGGCGGGAAATAAGCCGTTTTCCCGAGTACCCGTGAACTCCTGCCTGGTGCGCTGCCTAAGCCTCCACGAAAACCGCTATGCAGCGTAAGCAGCTGGCGGATGGCGTATCAACAGGAATAAACGGAAAGACCGGAAAAAAGGAACGAAAGATGGTAGCTGTGTGGGTGTAACCTTCTCACTCCGCTACCCCTAGCGCCACCACCGCCATTGTACATATCGTAAATCCATTGCTGGCAAGATTTAGTTCGTGCACAAGCAGCTGTAGAATGTTTATCTACAAATGCTATCTTTCGCAGAAGACGAAAAAGGACGATGCTAAGCAAGCTTCCTCAAAAAGCGGGGTAATAGATAGAAGTTGCAGTACATTTGTCGACTAAACCAGGCAACAGAATCTCATTTAAATTTAGTATAACTGAATCCTATAGTAGGGACGTGGCAGAACCTTCTTCATAACTATTTTCACAAAACAAACAGCCCGAAAAAGTTTAAATTTGACCGCCAAAACTGTTGCCGTTTGCGTCAATTTTTCTTCATTATAACAATAACAATAAAACTAGCTTTGCCTTCAGAAGGAGGATCTATCTTACCTGCTTTGCCTCAGCGTTAATACCTAAACAGACTGGCAGATGAAAGCTTTGCTTTAACACAAAGCACAGCAGAAAAAAACTTTATCAAAATGACGTATTCGACTTCAGTCTTGAACTCCTATAAAGCAGCACCACGTTTATATTTGTTTATTTGATTAGCCCATATTGGCGCCAAGAGGCAGAACAGATTTGGAGAACAATTGCAAAATGAAAACGAAGTGGTAGCTGGTGAAAACGAATCCACGTTCTGCACGTACACAAATGGACATATTAGGTTAGTCAATGCAAAATGCGATAGAAATCCACCTCATGTTTTGGTTATATCATAGCAAAATGGTACAATTTTATAGCGATGTGATATTCCGTGATACTTTTCTTATTTTTGAGACATACTTGTATTCCCCGAAATCTGAGATTGTTTACTTGAATATGGTCGCTTAGAACTGTGACAGGCGAGGTGAAGTAAGCCAAACTGGTTTACGAATACGAGTTTAACCTCGGAACCTTTGCGCCAAAGACAGCTTGTCGTATAAGCTTTGCATTCGACTGCTAAAAAGAAAGTGGGTCCTTTGTTCAAAGAAATTACGGTAAGGATATTTTGGACTCGAAAATCAGTCTCATGGGAGACTCTCCACGAAAGTAAATAACGAGGTGCTCAGAGTTGTGGTGACAGTTAATTCATGGTAAAATACTCAAGTTTGCTGTAAGTAAAAATAGCATCTTCGTTTTCTTCGGTCAAATCTGTAAAATAGAGGTTGAATTGAATGAAGATTAAATGCAGAGACGAAAGGACGCTTGTCTCTTTTTGATCGCACATTATAACAATGATCCATTTTTGTATTGAATTATGACTTGTAACGAAAAACAGGTGTTTTATAATAATCGCAGATGGTCACATGAGCAAAGAGATTTAACTGAACCGGTAGGCATCAGTCTGAAGCGAATGTGCAATTACAAAAGCCCAGTACAGCTGTAACGCAGTGCAGTTGGACGAATCCCAATGACTGGTTACGGCTCAAGAGTACCGTCAACAACTGGGGCAGTTGGAATGAACAAGCTCCACATTAATCAGCTAAGGTAAATATCTTGAACTTTGCGTTCCGTACTATTCTTAGGCACTCCATCAGGCGCCTGGCTCCCTGTACGAAACGAAATGTATCTACACTCAGACCCAGACCACCGCAATATTACTTACAATGCCACTGTTGGGAGCGATAGTGTTAGAAACCAGAGCTGGACCACATCTATTATTACCGCAACCGTAACAACGTTCGACCTTAACATGGCAAAAATCAAAATTACCTTCAAAAACTTTATGGATTCTCATACCCGAGACTTCCACAGCAGCAAAATAATGAAATTACCATCAGAGGCCATGAATATATATACGTTTTGAATGAATATAAAATAGCTACGTCTGTAACCAATTTCAGTTAACTTTTTTTGTAGATCATACTGAACGACTTAATAGCTCGTTAGTCAGGGGCAATAGCTGGCAGCATTATTGCAAAATGACGGTATGTGTATATCCCGAATAATTTTCAATAGCAAATTCAAATTCTCTAGTGGGTAGTGTAGCCGGGACGCTGGCAAATTGTGTGCCAAAAGGGGAATCGGAAGTGCTTCTAAGTTGAAAATGAGAGGTATTAACAATTTTAAAATAACAGACGAAGCTCAAACTTGCTACTATGTTGACAATGCTTTACATATTTACAAACTTACCTTGCCTTATCTCAGGTAAAACGCAACGAACTTCGCATTTATACTTGCAAAGGCTTAATGACTTGGCAATATTTGAGTCGAATCGTGCTCAAGGTCGGCAACAAAATTAAACTAAAATTATCGTTATCTTGCTGACAAACGATGGGTGCACCTCCTTGGCCTATCGTTGTCACGATGGATCTTGCTATACAAATTTGGCTGATATCAGTTTCTAGCTGAATTTGAATGAAAGACGAAACGACCTAATTTAACCTGTCGCGAACGACGGTCGGTTGCTTGCAAACGATAGAAACGTGTACTTCAAAGCTGTTGATGCACTAGATAATCAATTTTACGGTCTAAATCGATTGGCAACTTTTATTATTGATATGCAACCCCGTTACGCGTATCCTAAACACAAAGGGATGCTATTGTACCAAATAGAATTTCGCAGTTGGAATTAAGTGCCATAAGACGCATAACAATGTGGCACCGCTATATTCAGCGGATTAAGTAAAATATCTGCGCAGGTTCGCACGACTGTGCTAATCCGAATATAACTTATAAAGGGCTCTGTTATCAAAAGTTTTGAAGCCCAAGCAATAGCCCTAATGTATAGCCTTCAAAATAGATTTTCTATCGAAAATCAACTTTGGACACGATATTACCAAATTGTGATAATAATTAGGCGGAAAGAATCTCTCAAGTCAGCATGCCTTAAGTGAAGAACGAATCAATGGAAACATTCAATCGCGGGACGCACATATATACAAAATCGCTATGAGTGAATGGTTGAGAACGTTATCTTATCTTTGTCGGAACAGCTTCTGCTAGAGCGTGCCTAGCAGCCATGGCTAGCACATACGATGCCGGACAATATAAGAACATAGATATGATTATTTGCTAAATTTTTATTCTCATAATGTAAAACTCGCAACGTATTAAACTTGCAGTTGCTTTATGCCAACACTCTTCAAGTAAATCCGGATCTACATGCCTGTAGGTTTAAATAAGGTTAATTTAGCTATCGAATCTCAAACGACTGTGTCAAAGGTGACGCTCAATCTAATACGGTGTTCTACTAAAGTTTTAAGACAACTATCTGTCTGAGGGTATCAATACAGGAAGTACTTTTCCTCTGAACTCTTTCGAAAAGGTTTCTTTTATGAATCAATTGGATTGCTAGCCGATGGCGTTTACATTTGTGTTCCCATAAATCTGTCAGAACGCCGTCAGAGACACATATATACAATAAAATTCAGGTAAAGGGCGATATGATGTTGATTTGGTATGTAAATCTATCGTAATAATAGCGAATTTTCAGCGTATGAGAACATTTTTTCGATGCTACCTAGTTATATTAAGCCAATTGTTTATAGATTCATATTTTGTACCGTAACAAGATAAAATCTGTCCCTATTACAAGAAATTTATTATTCACGTGTCATCCCTGTTCCTTCATCACGCTGCTCATTCATGTTGTATTCTTCGGTGGGACAACATTATACATTGCTAACTATTGCATCGTTTACAATAAGAGATCGTAAAGTCATCCGTAGCTTTTCGAAGTAAACACCGCCAGTTCCTATGCCACGAGTCGCTTCTAGACATAGATGACATAGATAAAATGATGCTTCCCATTAGATATAGATGCCTTTGATAGCGCGACATGGTCGTTTGACCACATAGATATATGTGCGTGTGTGTGTGTCGGAAAACGTTTCTTTAGTGATGGCCTTTGGGTTTTCGGGAGACGTTCATTACAATAGGGAATGAGTTAACGGGCCACGCGGGAATGGTCTCATAGACAGATAGCTTAGATGCAGAACAGGATAAGGTGAGATGAAGAACCTCTAGGAAGCTATACGATGCGCCCGAATAGTACAACCAGACAGAGCCCGCCAATGAGGCATAACACTTTATTAGCCGAACGGCGCCGGCGAAGACTTCTGGGGCTGTACTACGGCATTAGGAGTCTAGGCGCCCAGAATCACCCTTGCGTCACAGTGTGGCGATATGTTGGTCTGGGCTGAAACTCCGTAGTTCGTTGTCCAGTTGGTAGTCTGCAGGTTAAAAGCAGCAGAATGTACACTATATGTCAAAACAACACTCCTGGGCCCTAGCGCATGTAATATCGCACGGGAGTCCCGAGAGAAGGTATTGCTGTTATAATGTTAGGCGTGGCCAGGTGGTGGCAACGATGACGGCAGCGATGTCTAAAAGAGGGCAGCAAATACGAAAACTCTCATTGTTGATATATCCGCCAATGGAGGTAAGCGCGCGTATATATACACAAATTACTTTTGCGCTCAGAGGAGTACAACAGTATTATATATTACAATTTCAGTTGAATTTTTTCAGCTTTCATAGTATGGACATAAGTCGTGGAGTGAAACAATTATAATAAATTTTATAATGTGTAATTAATATTCTATTATAGTCTCGCATCGCGTTTCTCTTTGAAAAAATGATTATAATGGATCTAATTGTAGCAAAATAAAGTAATAACAAAATTGCCTTTGTTTGTAATCATGTTTTGTTTAGCGAAGCCTTTTAGATGTATCATTTCAGTACGGGACGATCATTGGCTGTGTGCTGCTATGCCGACGAATGTCACCGTAGTAAGTGCGCCATGATGAATTCTTCATGATTTCTTTGATTTATGATCGATGATAAAAATTTAACTTTGAGGTAAACCTTCCTCCTCCTGAGGTAAACCTTTGAGGTAAAAAACACCGAGATAAACCGCACTCATTTTGAGTAACTCATTTTTGTTTTGACGAACAACCCGTATTAAAGACATTATCTTAGTAAATTACATTTCTTAACAAATAAGCATAAATTAACGCTACACAATTAGCCGGTTATTTATAACTTATCGTAAGTTGTCTAGTGGTAAGATGACGATTCTGTTTCACTTGGATAATCTGTTATTTGTCAGTGAACTGAGTTCATGAGACTACGGAGAGCAATTAAAAAAGAAAATATTCACGATTACCGCTAAACTCAGACACAATAATGTCTGAAAATACATACTCAATCTGATTGGTTCAATGTCTGCTCTTGTAGAGCGATATCGCTATCACCAGAGAACAAATTTATAAATGGAGTCGCAAGGGCGTCATTCAAAGATGGTACGCCATACGATCCTCAGGTGCAGATCGATGCTACCTTGTCGATAAAATGCATTCATTCGATTCGGGAGGATGATAGCTCAATATGTCTTATAACTTCTAAAAAGTAGCTGTAGGGGAATTTGGTGAATCATAAAAGGAATCTAACTCTTTGTGGAACCGTCCTTCCAAAGCTAGTTAACTAACTTATACAAACACTGTTTATTAATCAAGCAGGTATCAAAGTAGTTATGCTGCGAAGCAACGCTTATCTCCACACAACTACATAAAGGCTTCACCTAAATAATCACTTCTCTCTCACACAATTTATTGGCCACAGTTAACTTCTTTCGAGTACCATTTATCTCCATCAGTGTTATCAAGCTCTCTTGTCTTGCATTGTGAAGAAGAAGATTGCGGAAGATTGCGAACCTTACCGCAAGAGAATCCGCGAATTTTAAAATGTTTTATAAAATCAAGTGGAACTATACCTTAAGTTGAACCTTAATATAACTGTTGGATTGGAACATGAGTAACACCTAACAGAAACGTATCGTCCCTTGAATTCGACTATTGAATGAAGTATGTATGTATTCGATGCCACTCTTCACGACCTTCTCCGATCTTGCAACCAATGAATTTATCTCTTCCCGCCAGAAATGTTTAGTTTTTTTGTTGAAGTTATCCAGCTAGGTTTTCAGCTAATTTTATTTGCTAATGATTGGAAAAGATACCTCACGAGTCTGGCCATTTCTGTGCTTTAAATCGAGGTAAAGACATCACTCCTCGCAGATGACAATTCGGTGTAAGCGTGTGTCATCTTGGCTGCGTGTTGCTCAGTGCCAAGCAAGATGTTTCAGGGGTAATAGGAAGCTGTATCCGTTTCCAATATTCATTCAGTGTACAAGGCACCCAAAATCCAAATTCTTAAGTAAGCAAGCCCCGTAAATCTAAGGAGCCTGTCGATTGTCGTATATCTGTATTTTTTCAGTTTCTCACGCAATTAACGAATTATTTGTAAACCATCTTTTCTCAATCGGTTCTTATCGACCTCAGATGGCAAACTGGGTTGGCTGCAGCTTCCGGTTCTAAGATACAATTCTTGGGCCTTGCAAAGCAGGCCCTACTAATTAGTGTTCTCGCTATACAAGGCAGAAATACCTCCGTTTTAATTCTACTGTTCTGTAACTACTTGACCTCGGTAAAAGGTTAGAGTAGGTTTACGAATGTATCCTTTTTACGTAGAGGCTTCACTTTTGGAGC